CTCCTCACCGAAAGATCAAAAGGTACCCATGTGCTTGTCGAAGAAGATCATGTCTCCAGTAATCTTACTGGCAATGACGAATGGATCAGAGATATGGTCCCTCACCAAAATTCACATAAGAAAAGCTGGTCTTGGTGCAGAGGAGTATTGAAAAAATCATGCTCAATCAGACGAAGAAATACATGATCCCGAATGAAATGATGACTTCACAAACAAGGGCATACAGTGTACGTAGAAGACATAGCAGAAACTGTAAAAAGTCTATGGGCAGGACACTTTGCCAGAACGAACAGTAGAAAGTGGGTCATAATAATACCCCAAGGCATGAAAAATGAGTCAAAGGAAGATTAAGAGAAGAGATGACGTTGAGCAGAAGGTCGGCAGTACATGGACACAAGTGGCATAAAACCTTCAAACCTGGAGATCTCTGTGGAGACCATCCGCCAATATTGGCGTGACCAGCTGAGATGAAATGAAAACAGATGTAATTATAATTTGATGAAAGTAAGATAAACCTCACCTAGCAGTGCTAAAGATGATTCTGGAAACCCTTCGTCCTGTTGAAAACACAATATTGTTGTCCCCCACGAACCTTCAATCCCCATTACAGTCATACCTAAAAGAATAGTAATCCCCAGTACAAGCCATCCTCTGTAAATATCAGGAGTTTTCATTACTGTACGTATTTGTTATTGTTACAATAGGGAGATCGGGGTTGCCGTCTATTTTGAAAATCCATGAAACGATGTCAACCCGTCTAGACAGTTGAACCTTCACACCTAACGCTATATTCGCCTTTACATGTGCAACTGGTTGTATGAATATCAGTGTCTTTCTGCTACAAATGTTGATTATGTTTGAAACACATTGCAATATATATCCTTGTATTATTATGTGTATATAATTTCTTTTATATCAGGCTACCTGTTTAAACATCTAGTTGCTGGTCCCTTGTCAATAACAAACACTAAGGGAACGGTTCACACATTATTGACAAAAACGGAGCAGGAAATGTATGGTGGTATGGTGTTCCATACTGTAATATGATGAACGCAAAGAAGAAGCCTTCCCAGCGGCAAATTATGTTGTTTTAACGTTGAAACAACGTTGAAACATAACGTTGAGAAGACATTGGATAAACGTTGGATTTGAAAGTTGTGTCAGCCTCAGAAAACAACGTTGTATCAACGTCAGAAAACAATGTTATATCAACCCCACCCAGCGGTAAATTAGCCTGGATGTGTTTAGCAGTAGGACATGCTTGATGGTTTAATATACAGCTAGGCCAATAAGACCGTTCACAGTAGGTCACGGTCAGTGCGACCGTGACTCCTGATAACCCCCGCGTGGATAATAACAGGGCAAATAGCGACAGTTTAAGCTGTTAAGTTATCAATCGTAACCATCTCGGACTCCCCGCTGTCTACATCGTGTCCCGTCAAGCAGCCTGTGCAATCATACGCCCCGCTAGTTCCAAGCATTGTTCTGGTATAGAACGGCACGTGCCCTTTGGTTAGACATGGAAGACTAAATGTTGGGTTTAACCATGGTTCAAGCACTGACGATATTTCTGTTTATTCACCGCATTCCAAACTTCGTAGACATTTTCAAAAATAGAATTTTGTAATTGAATGAAATATAATTAATTTACCGATGTTGCCCTTTCATCTTAATTTTGGCTTACTTAGATGAAACGATAAGAGTCACGATAACATGCTCAAGCTAATTGAAAAAGTGAAGTATGAATATGGCAGAATTATGCGGTGATTCTCTTTTTCAATGAAGTGGAATGTGATCTACATGTACATATAATGAAACAAATTATTGCAGTCAATGAATAGTCGGTTTATTCACAATTAACACGGCACGTCCATACAGTAAACTATAACAATTTTATAAAAAACTAAATTTTAAAAATGGCAAATTAATAAAATGGCTCTTACGAACAGTCATTTAATTGAAAAAGTGCATTCTCCTGATAATCATTAATCTAATATCCGGATGCACGGCCTTCCCTTTTCAACACCTCCGGAATAACATTTAACATCAATAGGAAAGATGTGAATTAAATTTCTTGTTGCTAGACCCAGTGACATTAATATAAGATTGTTTTAATAGTACATAAAATCGTACCAAGACCTCATTGGAGTACATATATATAATTACACCCTTTACAGCAACCGGACCCCTTAATTGATGTACACTGTACAATGCACGTATATACACTGCAATTGCCGCTTTCACCTCCTTNCAATTGGGATTGGAGCCCGTGGTTTAATATGTGTTAAATATTGATTAACATTCGATAAAAATGTCATGGTTCGGACATTATGCATTTTATATCGCATGGGTAGTTATTTTCTGACACATCACGACGCGTTTCAAGATATATAACGACGCTTAATAGCCATTTATTAAGATTGTTTTTCTATCGAATGATATACAATTTGTTAACCCTTAAGGGAGACCTGGGGTCAAAACACACCACTTGAGTTTTGACAGTGTCAGAGAGCCGATCTAGTTTGAATGTTTCGTGTCTTTATTTCATATAATCATCCCTTAATTTTGACTTGTTGGCTGCACAAACATACTTATCGATTATACGTGAGGAATCCACACAGAAACCAATAGAAAGTTTATACTGATTTTGTGTACCTTACCTGATTTTGTGTACCTTGGAAATAAGATGCAGTGAAAGATTATTTTTCTTGTTATTCACAATTTGGATTTTAAAAAAATCAGAATGTGAGTTATTAACCTGATCAGACAGTGGGGTAAAGCAATATATGTAGGCCTACAACATTTAAATGTTGTTATGTTGGCAACCCTGGTTTGATGAGCTAACGTTTTAATCTATTGAAAGACAACTAAGTGAAACACATGAAGGCATTTAACGTTTTCAACATAAATCTTCGGTAGTGTAGAAATTAAACATCTGTGGTAAATTCTAATTTGGAGATGACTGCAGTCGGATGTGTCACAATGTATGTTTTTATCAGGTATCTTTAAAGATATGGTCAACCACAATGGTTTCTTTTCCGTATCTTTTTATGTAAACGCCAACATATTTGGATAACTATTTACAAGTAGGCCTACGAATCCAGGGGCTTCAAGGTTCAAAAGACGTGGTGAAAAATGGGGTCCGCCCCCAGTAACCTTAAATTTTGATTTATCAAAATCTTCTTCTTCCAAAATAGTGTTGGGACTTCATTTATCTTTATGATTTTTTTAAAGTATGAGTCATGGTTTGAGATGCATTGTAGCCATCCTGGATGGAAATCGTCTTAGGTGGCCTAGAACGAGACTGTCGGCACTTTCTGATGTCCATGAAGACGTGCTAGAATTCGCGATGAGGGTGAAACTGTAGGGGCCTACATGCCCCGCGAAAGTCGTTTAAGGAAGGAATGTAAAAGTGACACGCGAAAGATAGTGACTGATTGTGCAATAAAGTGTAAAAAAGCAGTTAATGTCACACGCAACTGATTAAGCAAAGTAGATTCAGGATTTCGATTGGTGGTGTTATTTTTAGGGTGGTGAATGAACATATTCGGAAATATAGGTCCCTACTTGTAGTTTTTTTTAAATACTTGAAGGCCTACATGTAGGCACGACACAGAAGTATTCGGCCGGTAACTGCCAAATAGAGAAAAAACTTCATCATTATTTTCATAACTATTGAAGTTTAAAACAGAAATTGAGATATAGGCCTTCTAAGTGGAAGGCACCGGTAGGCCTATAACTTTGATGATCCGACTGTTTGCAAAACCGTGTACCGGTAGGTTCTGCACATACAGCAGGGGCGTTAAATTGGGGGCGTCTCGATAGTCCGAAGGTTCATTGGTCCGAAAAGTGGTAACATTTTCATCTATTTTTTAATCAAGGGTTCATTGGTCCGAAGGTTCTATAGTGAATATTCGGACCAATGAACCTTCGGACTATTGAACCCTCGGACTAATGCTACAGCCCCGTTAAATTCAGACAGCAATTTATTTTGAGCACATAATTGGCGAAAAATGCCAACGTCAACAATTGTCGACTTTATATAAATAAATCCTGTCATTGAAAACACTGTATATCGAAACACAGTTTCCGATCATTTTTGCCATCTCTACATCATTGCAAGCTTCCATGTATGCATGGTAGGGCCTACAATATGTTAAGGTAGGGTATTAAAGGGGTCTATTTGATATGATGGTGTTAAATTAGATATTAAATTCTAATTAATGTGATCAATTAGTAAAACTAGGCTACTTACATGTAGATATTAAATGCTAACATTTTATTACTGTACCCCTACTTGATTCTCTTTGAAATGAAAATTTAGAAATTGTCCCTACATGTAAGACCGTCGCCTTTTGAAGATTTCAGAAGTAAATAGGCCCCTATCGATCAGGTACTTTCATATGAGGGGGTTTATAGTTTTAACGGCTGAAAGATATGAAATGTCGGATACAGGTAAGTAGCTGAAATAGAGAAATATAGGCCTAAATGATGCATTTTCAAACCCGTATGGCATATAAAACTACCAGTAGGCTACTTGTAGCAAAAATCTAGAAAAGGCTTTTCAGCATGTATCGCAAACACGACATTCATTCGTTAGCACTCCTATTTACAGTCCGTTTATTAGATCTTAGTTACAGTGGATTATCGGTTTTTGTAGCGAACACATTGGCCCTATACTGTAGGCCTATCAGAAAACGTCAAGGAAGGAAATTAGTGCTAGATTAGCAGTAAAATTAATAAATTAATCTCACATTAAAATCAATAGTCATTCATTATGATAAGATAATCTATGCATTGTTTGATGCTAACTGTTCTGAGACTATTGTATGATTAGCATGACACTAAAATAATACAAAATTTGTTTCCCGAAGTTCGCAACTATTTCACAAAGTAAGGCTACGTCAGTGTTCTACATTTCCGCCTACTTCCGGTTATGTGTCCTGTGATTTTCATGGCATACAAAATACAACAAACATTTATGAAGTCATGCTTTCAACAGTAAAATGAGTGTCCGTGGATGTTGGGTGATATCAGTAGATAGTGGGGAAGATGGAAGATCAACTGGAAAGACGTTGTTTTCGAGGTAAACATGACTTTTCACTACTGGCCCATAATAACAGGGCCCATAATAACAGCTACCTGTACCCCAGAAGTTGAAGCACTGCATTTGCTGGCAAATTATTTTTATGTGCTTATTTGCTGTGACCCCTCTTCCTGGTTTGCTGAAAAATTTGCAAATACACGTATCTATAGGTTGTCCTTATTTGACACTGATCTGTTTTTTTTTTTTTAATTAATTAATTAATTAATTAACTTATTATTATTATTATTATTATTATTATTATTATTATTATTATATATTTTTTTTTTTGGGGGGGGGGGAATAGATGGAATAAAAAAGACTTAAGCATTTCATTTTGTTTTAGTCTTTTTTATTCCATCTATCTTAGACAAATAAAATGCCAAGCATTTATCCACATACTACCACATACACATTTTAAGTGACTTTACATAAAGCTTGTACATGTAGACTTTATAACACCGGACTGAATGAGCCCTTACCTGCATAACATGTACTGGTAAGACCGAAAACTGATGCACCTCCCCTCCCCCCCCCCCCATTCTCCTATATATCTGCCAAATAAAATGTAACTTTTGTCAAAATTATTTTCAAAATAAAGGGACACAAAAATAATTATTTGAAGTTCAAAAGACATATTTGATAGATATGATGGCTTACTTATCTTGGTATGATACACGAGTACCTTGGTGTGGGTAAGAAACAAGGCCCTAAACTAAGACAAAGGGGAGGGGATCTAGGTATTTTAATTTTTTTTATTACAGTGTTATGGTATTATACTTACTGGTATGTCATAAGTGCTGAATAAAAATATGTATAATAATTAAAGCTGATAATAAAGGATATATAACTTGAACAAATTAAGTTTTGGAAGAATACAACCAAATAATGAGTTGTTCTGAAATTGCCATGCTATCACAATTTTTAAAAATTTTTTACAGAATCTTCCCGAGTGTAGAAAAGAGGGCCAAGCTGTGTGCTGATAGTGACCATTATGTTCCTTTGCCAGATACACAGGTTTTCCTGGAGGATCTTCTCAATGAGCTTGGGATCCAATTAACTATTAAAAAGGTCCTATATTATTTTATAAATATGTGACACATGTTTCTCTCTACACACACACATTACACACAAACACACACACACACGTGTGCATACATGCACCCACATGTAAACTTTCACGCAATTTTTCTATAAAAAGCTTGTGCTGAAGCTCAAAACTTAGGTAATGATAATATAAAAGTACAGGTGAAAATGATTTTTGTCTCAAGCTATTGAAAGTATTGATTAGGATATTATAACAATGAATTACTAACATACTTTAGAATTATGAGCTGGGATTGAAACTTGATTTTGCTTATGGGGTTAATATAATGAAATGGTGGTAAGAAGCAAGAAAAGAAAAAGTCAGAGCTAGATTTTTCAAAAGCATACATGAATCATTTTATTTGGATGTATTACCATTATCATTGGTAGTTTCCTCCAAATTATTCAGACCTTACAATGCCGAAAATACCACCCTTATCCTCCTGAAACCCCAAGTTCCATTGCTTTTTACTCCCCAAAGAAATGACATTGTGACAATGTGAATAAAACATAAAGACAAATTCTGTCATTGTGTTTCAGTTTATTGGATCAAGAGACAGCTGCAAGAAAGTTGACCAAAAGCCTGTCTTTGGAGTTCATACCGCTGCTGGGGTCATATGGCCAGTATTAGTATTGGAGCAGGTATGTAATGAATAGATTTTTAGAAATTGATTGAGTTAACTTTGTTTTTTTGCAAAAATCATCTTGGAATTTATCACTTCTAGAGAGCAGACACGCTGAAACTGTCGGTCCGATCGGTCATGACCGGGAAAATTTGTCTGGACCGGTAAAAAATTGGACTTGGTCAGTCCAAAGGACCGACAAGAGTTTTAAGAACCACAATTTTGAATTTACATTCATCATTCGCCATACTTCACTAATAAAATTATGTAAAACCCAAAGCGTTTTTCCCCTCCATTTGAAACCTATCACATTCACAAACAAAGTAAGCTACCTAATTGTACTGGTAGTATCTGCCTCAAACAAATAGGGTGATTTTCGGTCCGACAAAAATCCATTTGGTCCAGCAAATTTTTCATTACTACCTGTCCAAATGCCCGGCCATTCTGAAAAGTTTTCAGCATGTCTGAGAGAGGCAGCAGTGCTCTTTTGTTGTTGTTTTATGAAAGGCAATCTGGTAAGACGGTTTTGAGTGGAGTTTTTGATTGCAAGAGGTGGCTTATATTATGTAATTTCATATTAAGCTGTTATATTAAAAAGACAAAGCAAATGCTGTCATTTCTATGCTAATCATTCAGTTTTTCTTTTTCTTATTTTTTTTTATCAAGGCTGGTTTGTTGTACTGTTGTGTGCCCCTTGTAGAAGTTGTTGGATCTTCTTCCCAAGTTTCTTTGATTCAAATGTAAGTAATGAGATATGTTATATAGATGATATTTGATACAAAAGAAATAGATAGTGAAAGTTGTCTAATTCCTAAAACTTGCTTGCTTTAGTGCATGTCTATCTGTAAGTCAGTATGCAGCTTTGGCAATATCAAGAAAGGCATGGAAATATGAAGGTTATGCTCATGATGAGACATTTTTTTTTTCTAAAAGAAAATTTCTGAAAATCTTAAAGAAAATTCAATACAGGTTTCCTTTTAAAGATTCATATAAAGTAAATGTTGATTTCAAAACACTTTTTCTAATTTCTTATACGACTAGAATAAAGTCGACATCCCAAATCATAAATAAAATTAATCTCTTATTCATCCAAAAATAACTTTAAAACTGCACTTTCTTCAAATTTTGGTTGTAAATGGACCATTCATCTTACCCTCCAAATTATGAAGATCCACTAAATGATGTAGTACTGCTCACGCTTTGCATAATCATCACTCTCACTCCTGTGCGCGCAACCTATATGAATGAGACTGCTGAAGGATATTTAGAGCACAGAAAGCAAGAAGAAAATATCAGTTCAGATATCATTTTTTGGGAAAATATGAAACAGCGTCCTGAGCTATTTCTCTCAGTTACCAGACTAATATTTGCAACTGTGGTGGCATTTGGTCAGGTTCTTTGGCAAAAATTTGACTTAAAATGCATCTTTAAAACAGGTCTTCATGATCAGTATTATTTTAGAAACTTGCAAGACAGATTTTTGTTGTTTTAGTCCAGGTATTGCCGCTGGCTACAGTTTGCTTCTTGGAATAGCTGATTTTGTAGGCAAACCACAAGGAGAGGTTCTCAGTGAGGTAGGTATACTGGTATATGTAGATTCAAAGCATTCAAATCCACTTGACATTTTCAGTTAACTTCTGCTTTGATTATATATAAATTTACATTTTAGAGGTTCACACCAGTTATAAAGTCAATTATTTAGACTAAAACAAATGTGTAAAGCCAGTAAAGCTATCAAAAATTAGTACTACTAATTGTTCTAGATTATTTAGGTCTTCAGTAATCAACTCTTCTCATATGCTGTGTTATGTATAATATTTTGAAGAAAATTTTCATAGGCTGGGTAATGTAATAAGAATAAAGTAATTTTTGTTCAGTGAACAGCTAATATTGAAATATTTTACTTCCAATATTTTGATGTCTGTCTATAGTATCTTCATCAGGGAATGAGGCTATGCAAGTGAATAGCCCCTATACAGGAGATTATACTCCCCCCATCTACTGCCTTAAGAAAGGCAGGTATAGGTCAAGGAGGCCAGATGGGCCCATCATTTCTGTTGATACAGGCCCCTGACTTCTTTATGTAAATGGCTTCCAGGACTTTCCTGTAACGTTCTCTTGGTTCACTGTCAATCACTTTGATTTCTTCATCTGGATAGCCTCATTTCCTGATGAAGATGTTCAAGACAGATACCAAGAAAAATTACTTAATTTGTATAAATACTTTACTTTTTACCTAGGATTTTCTTCGCTATCAGGTATTTTTTGTTGTTGATTACCCAGTGATGATTTCAACATTCATTTTTTCCAACATTTATTTTTCCTAGACCTCCAGTGTGATAGCAGACTTGTACCTGTACTTGAGTTGTGCGGCACCATTTGGTACACCCCAAAATGTACAGCCAGACATTGTACGCACCACACTACAGGCCAAAAACACCCCAGTGCCAAAAGATAAGGTACATCAGGATAATTATAGGAGGGTACATTGCACGCCTGTAAATGATATATCAGGCCCTTAGCCAGCAATTGCAAAAGGGGGGTTCTTTTTCTAAAAATATGGACCTTTTGTAATGAAACCTTAGTTTTAATTTTACCTAGATCAAATTTACCCAAAGTGGACCTTTTTCCAGCAAAAAAAAATTTTTTAAATCCCCTGAACGGCTACAAGCCTGTATAAACATGTGCATATAATGACATATTATCATATATTATGTATTATATTTGTATATATTCGGCATTGTCACGAAAATAAAATCAATTTAACTATCATATTTATATCTGCTAATACATACAGCACTGTGTTTACATTGTTCAGTTGACATACAAAAGGCAGTCATTTGTGGATGGAAATACAATATTAACTTGCAAAATGGTTAATGGGCTGTGCAAATTTGGTCAAATTGCTCCCAAGAGTTATGATTCATCTTGCTTAAAGAATGTGACATATTCATCAAATTGCAATCACCAGTATACATTATTGATATTCTCAAGGGAGATATCTTTTGAGTGGGTCCAGACAGGGGTAATGAATGTTGAGAAAATGAACATTATGGCAAAATATACATAAACATATACATTAGGAGTGTACATTACTTTCTGAAATAAGTTTATGGTTGCAGATAAGTATATACCAGGAAGACCACAAGCATATGAACATATTATGCAAATTTGCATCATTCTGGATATCATTACCACAATAGGGGCAGTTTAGGTCATTGTTGGCAGTAATATTTTACAAATGTACCTATAGCAGTTATATTACAGACAACCTGGTGATTTGGCACTCTTCTTTGTTTTTTTTTTTTTTTTTTTTTTTTTAATTTTTTTTAATAAGCAAGTATTGATATTTTAGTGGTCTTCTTTTGCTGTGATGCATGTACAAGAATGCATATGCTATGTGTGTGAGTTAATGCCAAAATTCCCCTTGACTCCAGCCATATTCAAAGCTTTTCTAATAAAAAGCACATAAGTCATAACTGACATCATCAGTAACCCTTATCACGCCTTTTAGAATCATATCCTGCATCTTATGACATTTAGATAATTTTAGGGTGAAGTTTTACATATTAGTGTTTTTATACTTTTAGCTTTAGACTACTAGTACTAGTAAGTGTTAGCATTTCATCTGGTATGCCACTATGAACTGGATTGAATTTTGAAGTTATTTGTCATGCTTATCATTGAAAGCAATTAGTAGAAAGTAGAGATTCTTCTTCAAGTTTACATTTGTTATTTTAGTTATCATGGCAGATTTGGAAAAAATAGCTGTAGTGATAAGTAAATTGCATTTCATGATAATAGCCTAGTCTCTTTATGGTGGCACCCCGTCTTCCTTGTACCGGGAACTTTTCTACCATACTTATTAAATTGAAATGTTGCATGCAAAGGACCATATCACAGCAGGGTGTGAGTAAAAGACGCCTTTACTGCGAAATGAGCATATGGATATACTATTACGTGAGGCACTAGAACAGGCATGTGCTTTGTTGAAAGTAAGGCAGGACTGTTTTACAGTGTTCCACCGCACATCAATTATCAATTTATGAAGTTTGCAATAAAAAAGTGACCCACAGTCAGAAAAAAATTCTGATCATCTTCTGTGATTTCAGTCATTGTTTATATGCAGAAATTATTAGATAATAATATGAACTTGTCATTTTTCTATTCTTGATTTTTTCATGTGACAGCAACCTGCGTGGAGGCCAGTTGCTTACAAAGGAAAACCCAACATTTATTTTGCAATTACTGAGCAAATAAAGGCAGTGCAAGTGAGTTTTTTTAATCTATGTATTTGATGTTCAGCAGATATGCTTTTAAAAATTTTGATAAAGACATACATGTATTTAAGAATCTATATAAAACATACTTACTGAGTACATGTACCTCTGTATATGCATGTAATAAATTTAAAGCAGATAAGACCAAAAGATGGCAAGTGTGGAAAAGTAAAAAGTATGCCTTAAAGCAACCAGTCAGCATATGCTAACCTCTTCATTTTAATATTTTTAAATTTATTATAAACCTATTAGAAACCAAAAAGCATGGAATTAAGTCTTCACTCCCCTAGACTCCTTAAATGAGGATATTTCAAGATTAATTGACCCATTTTGCAAAGAGTAAGAAACATTTGTTTTGAGTTAAAACCAACTTCCGAAATTCAGGGAAAAGATATCCAGGCAATCCAAAGGTTACTTATCCTCAACCAATGTCACAGGTTGATTTTTCACATGATATTCACAGATATGTCTCTGGCTAATTCATTACACAATTAATCTGCACCTATGTTTGGTCGAGAGTGGTCTTTATCTAAATACGTTTTTCAGGAATAGACTGTGCTGTGCATCTCTAATTTCTGATATCTCATATTTCAGTATGACAGCTCTAGTATCAAAGATGTGTGGGATTTATATGGCACAGTCACATGTATGGCAGAACTAGAGGGGATCAAACCTGAAGTCAGCGTTCCTTTCACTTGGACAGATAATGGACAAAGTCCTACACTGAACAAGTTCCTTTTTCATCATTCTGTACAGTCAAGCACAATAGGTAGGTAAAAAAAACATTCACAGTGATCCACTTTCAAGATGACTGGTGCAAAATCTGTGTTTCATGGCATTTGGTCCTATGAAAATTGTGCTTTTGGAAAAAAAAATACAAATCACAGCCGTCTTTAGTACATGTATATTTTGTGTATAGATGCATCTTTATGTGCACAGGTATGCGAATCATTAAATGGTTTATTCCACAATATTTTGCATGTGTTTTGCCCACCTTACTCCCCATTAATGCAGTGTTATATGGCTGCAAATGGACCAGGTGAGAGGAACAATGGAATAGGTGCTCTTATGCATTGTCGGTTCCCAAAGTTAGGCTTTAAAAGTATTATCGTTTTTTTTTTCAAAGATACCACTCAACCAAGATGTTTCTCAATAAAACAAGTGCAGAAACACACACACAAAACACAGAACAGACAATAGTTCATTCTATTATGGTCATATTTGGTATCTTATTAAGATGTCAACGTCCTGAAGTGGTGCCAGTTCAGACATACTAACCTTATAATCTGCTCAAGTTATATTTGCATTCAGTGGATACCAAATTTCAACAACGGATTGTTATAAGTGTGCAAATGGGCACTTTTATGACCATTGTGCTTTGTCTGCACAAAAATAAGGTATTTCATCACCCATAAGAATCTTTAATTCCCTCATTTAGTAGTTTGAGCATCTGTTGACATGCATAGGGCTATTTTTGTTTTGGGAAATCTCGATTCTCATGCAAGTGGGTCAACTCGCCTCCATACTACCTATCTCTGTGGGCCATCTGATTTAGCTGGTGAAAACATCAACATTATTCTGTATATGGTATTAGTAATGTGGTTCACAGCCTTTGTAAAAATGCATGAGAACCAATATTGATTGATTGCTTGATTGATTGAAAAGGGCAGCCAATATCATTTTTCTGTGTGTACCCTGGAGACAGTGGTACGGATGGCAGTGGGCAAGAGACAGAGAATTGCGTTGGCAGCTTGGTTTTCTCATACTGACAGCATAAATGTACTGGCAAGGGTCCACTTATATGCTGTGAAAATATTATTTCATATTTTAAAGTATTAAAAAGGATGCTCACAATGAAAGATTGTGATAGTTTTTAAATTTTATTTGAAACCTTTGCCATTATCCATAACATTGATTACTCTTACACATGATGTTGATTACATTATTTTTTCTTAGGTAAGTCCTGTGTTATGGTTGCATTGTATAAACATGATTTGAATCTGTTTTTCAACTTTGCCATAAACTGGCTTAATTATAATAAACCTTTATTTTTGACAGGCGGGTCAGAATGCAGGCTCGAGTTCTTCCCTCCCCCTGAAATGTTTGTCTTGTGTCAGTATACTGCTTCCGGGATAGATCTACCCATAAAAGGCTTTTACCAGATGAAGGTATTTATTTGTTATTAATGTATCACGTCCCTGTTGTTGTGCAAAAAAGATTTGGAACACTCTCACTGCCTAATCTTCATTTGAGAATGAGGGATATTAGTTTTGAAATGTTTTGAAAAGTGCACAGTTAATGATTAAAAGGAGAAAGAAAGAAGGAAAGATTAATAAAAGAGTGAATAAGACATACACACATACACATACACATATGAATGTCTAGAGTAAGTTCAAAAGAGAGCCTTGAGGATTATTTGCCCTGGTCACAGTTATGATGATGCCTTAAAAGTTTGTAAAATTGACACCCTAGACAAACGTAGACATTTGCTGTGCCAGAGGTTTTATATGATATTTAAATGATAAAATTGTGAAAAGTTGGGTCATTTATTGCTCGAACACTTATTCTTTACAAAACAACACCAAATTTTTACAACCAAAAGTGAAAAACAGAAAAATTCCTTTATTAATTATTGCCTCTTTAATTTGTAGTCATTTATGAACACCTTTTTATGAATTTGTAGTATTTTAGGAATAATTTATTGTTTTATAATTTAAAGTTAATTGTCAATTTTCTCTTAAACATACTTGGTACAACTTCAACCTTAGGGTTGCAATTTCACCTAATAAATTATTGTTATTAATATTATTATTATCATTATTTTTATTATTATTATTATATTGTTATGCACACAGGTTTTTTTCAGTGTCATTGAAATCTATAAGGTCTTTCAGCTTAAAAAACAGTTTCTTTTTGTTTTATTCTTTAATTTAGCTCAATATTATATATATTTTGTAGCAGGTAATGTCTTTATTTTTTTTCATTAGGGAGATTTGTTTAAAGCTGATTTGCTGCTGCAGCTAAAACTTAAAGAACATGTCAAGAATACATTCCAGTACTGTTTTGTTCAACTTCCATTTTATAATAGGTATGTACTAGTGTTGTGTGTTAACTAGGGAGACAACTTTATCCCTCACTTTTTTCAGTATTTATTATTCTTAATTAATTAGTTGTTTTCTGAAAATTAAGTATTTGGTGATAGATTACAGTATGTATGTCTTTGCCAGCAATGGAGCTTGATTATCAAAAAGTGCCGTGAGCTGCTGAGACTGTAGGACAAGTTGTTAATAAGAAAAAGCCATAACAACAAGACTGCTCAAGCACTCAATTGCTTGGGAATATTTCCTAAATTAGAGGTAAATTTCATTAATGAGTCAGTTTTGTCGTTTCATTTCCTTTCAACTTTTTAAAAAACTTTGTCATTTTTCATGCCTTGTTTTTATTCTTCAGCATTTTTATGTACAGACACAGATGTATCTGTACATATAGCCCTCACCTGTGGCTGTCATCGCTGTCGTTGCCGTTACCGTGCACTTTCACCAATAACACAATAAGTGGAAAACCCTTTAACCTTTTAGCTTTATACTTACAATACAAATGAATATTCATAATACACAGGAGTTTGAAAATCAGCATGATCAGGCCTTTTTTTTCAAGGTATACAGTTTTTTGTTATATTTTAATTTTTTGCATATTAGGATTTAAGGTGTGACTTTGAACTTCCATGGGCTTGAAGACCTTTGTTTATCACATTTTTGAATATCCATGATACTTTTATTTTATTATTAAAAATTGATAGTCAATATACTGTTAAGCATTATGTAATATTGCATCAAAATTGAAGAAAAACCTACTTCGTGCACTGCCACAGCAAATGTTATGAAAAGAAAACTGTGTTACTTATAATATTATAAACTTACAAGAATGATTCTTAGGATTGACATATAGCTCAAATTAAAAAACCAGCTTATGAATTTTTTTGTGAAATTTTCATTTTTTTTTCCTTCTGGCATTTTTTGAGTGTGAATTTGAACTCTCATGGGCCTGAAGCCTTATGCTTTTACTTACATCAGTATTACTAGTTGTGCATAATTAAATTTTGATGTTGATTTTACAGTTAAGCATAATGTATTGTTGCGTCAGAATTGATAGTATCCTGATTTATGTATTATTTTTTCTGCTTTGGTGCCTTGCAGAATACAGTAACGTTCCATTAAAAGTATGTAGTGCATCTTTTTGGTTGATGTTTCTTTACCAGTGGTGAAATACATTTAGGATTAAAAATCATTAAGTTAATTTTTCTTTTCACACATAATACTTAATTTTCATACCTTTCTTCAAGAGCTTTTTCCAATGAACCTCCTCACTGCCAACATCTCTCTTGCCCTTGTATGGATTTTTCTGAGCAGAAGGGCTACTGTTTTCTTTTTACCTGTCAGAACCATGCTCACCAGACTTTTCCTGCGGCTCCATCTTAGAGCAATTGTTACATCTGTGCCTTAGTTATGCTTCTTTATTCATGAGTAACTTGCAAGATTTTTTGAAACAGTACTGCAGATGAAAGCTGACAATTTCGGATGAGGTTGTCCAAAATTTAAATACAGAACTCAAAAAAACATCTTATTTTCTAAACGGTTCTGGATAGGGTATACCTTGGTCATTATGAGAAAACTCTTGAAGTTTCTTGAAAAATAATTTTTTTATTTTGCCATATTAAGCTCTTAGTGCACATTGTTTGCCTTTAAAATATATGAAATCATTGTCAGTTTTCAAAACCCATCAAATGTTTTAATCTTTTACGGAATGATGTTCCACACAGTCCATAAATGAAAAAATTAATTGACGAGTTGAGACTTGTTAGAAAAAATCCCATTGGTTTTATCCAGTGTCCAATGAGTACAATCCTCTCAAACAGTCCAGGTATCTGCTCTACAAGAACAAAAGTGGAGGATGTAAAACTAATAGGTAGCACAGCTAGTACATAAAATGTTATCAGTAACACCACCATTTTTATTATCTGGCTACAGTGATCACAACTGTTCATTGTCAGTTGCATTTTAGCTTGTCTCCTCAAGGACTTAATAAGCTTCATGTAAAGATTGAGCATGAATCCAGTTAGTAAAGCGTTGATAATGAAAGGAAACACCCTGCGGTAAATAATCTTGTAAACAATGGCCCAGTCCTTGAATTGAAAGGTTAAGCAGAAGTCATTTGAGCTGTGTTCACAAGGAAGAAATCCAATGAATTTAGTATCGAAAAACATTGGAAGTTGATACAAAGCGATCACTGTCAGTAATACATAGGTCCGCCATCGCCATTTTGTTACCTTTCGAAACTCGATGCTTTTTGTAGGTTTGGTAATTGCAAGATAACGGTCGAATGCCACAAAAACTAGCAGACAGTGGGAAGAAAGTCTTGCAAACAGCATGATTGGCCAAATATAAACGGTGGTTGTCTGCATTGCAACAAAGAACCAGTCAATCCATCCCAAATAAACATGCAGAGCAGGTAGATTGATGGAAAATATTGCTGTGATTAAAAAGACGTTATCCATGATGGCAGTCCAGGATAGTAGATAATCAGTGGATACATTTGCTCTCTCCTTGTAAAATACTATAAAAGACAGAGTGTTACAAATTATTCCCAGTAGGCTGACGACCAGTGATGCAAATCCTAGAACAACAGTGAGGTACAAGTTTAAGGCTGTTTGGTGAGAGGTGGTGCTGCTCACCAGTGTACTGTTCAACATATTTGTTGTTGAATTCAATTCATCGAATTTGTCAGAAAAAGCTTCCATAATGCCTCAATGTGTTGTTGAAAATAAGATATTGAACAAATAAGAGCCTGTCTGAATGATGACGATTTTCATGAAGCCGGGCCTTTATATCACAGAATTTGGCCTTGTCCATAACCAATCAGAGAACAGAATGTACCTTATTTGATTTTGACAGTAACAAGGATTCCAATTTCGCTTAACACATGCATGGATGATAGGATATAAAGTGATATAGAAGCAGACAATGACAGTGGAAATGTGGAAGAGTAACAAAATCTCAGCTTTAACCAGTGTGACAAAGGACCACGCACAGAATAATGAAAATGAAGAAAATATGTAATGAAAAGGAGTGTGTCATATTGAAACAATAAAGAAATGGATAGCCGGTCTATTCGTGTCACCTTATTGACTGAAGAAAATCTCTTTTGTTCTACCATCACTTTAGTTCTATTCATACCTTTTGAGAAAGCTGATTTCAGAAACAATATATGGATCCACCTCCTCTTTTTTTCTAAAAATATGTTGTTGTGCAACTGAAGTTAAATAAGGACAAACACTGACTCATCAACTTTGATTTTATTGTAACATTTACAAAGTTGACATTTAAGATTGGAAATTTGCCAAATGTTTTCCTTTGATTATTTCTTATTTTTCCTTGTTATAAATGAAAACAAGGACTAAAAAACTTGTTTTGATCACATATAATGACGTCTTCAGTGTCATTGTGACAAAATTCCTCAATCCAATTCATCAGTAGAGCCTCACTAAATACATGGTTTATCTTAAATAAAAGATAGCCCCTCAATGCATTAGTTACATATGCATATTTTCCAAATTATTAATTATCAAAGTGTGACATGCCCCACAAAAGAAAATAGTTTCAATTTGTAGTCACAGCAGTGGTCACTGTGACCTTCTCATGCTGCTACCACAGCTGTCAAGAGGGAGGGGTGGCAGTTTCTTAGAATTTGGTTTGAAAGAACGTACTCATTCCAAGCATTGTTCAAAACTTATCTGAGTTGGTTGTCAGGTAGTCTGCGACATTAACCACTGGCCTGACTGCCAATTCCAGTAAAAAATCAAACCTTGCCAATGAAATTTCTTGAAAACAGTCAGTTACTAGCACTACCAGGCTAGTGGCTTTTTTCAACTGTAACATGTAGTCCATTTCATTTGATAAATGTTCAAACCAAATGTTAAAATCTTTTAATTTTAAGAAACTTAAAAAAATGTTTTTGTTTATATTTGTAATAGGAAGCCTGTTTAATCTCAGTGTGTTAATTTGTGAATTTTTTTTTTTTTTTTTTTTTTTTTTTTGAAAAAATTGGACTTGGGCAAGTGAATTTTGGTTTGGGGCAGTAGATTGTCTGACCCTGGTGGCCCAGATGGCCTGTTAGTTGAAAAGTATTTGGCACAGACTGCATAGGACCATAGACATGATACAGTGAGTAATAAATGCCCATAGATTTTTTATAGGGTTCAGATCCAGTAATCTTGATGGCTAGGGTAGTTGCCCAGTCTCTAGTACTCTGTTGTGCTGGGCATTGTCATCTTGCAAAATAACAGTGTTCTTTAGGTGCCCTGTGACAATTGGGAGGCAGGTGATTTCCAGAATCTTCCTGTATTTGATGTGGTTTAGGTTTCCATCAATCACTACCAATGTCTTTTTATGTAGAGACATAAATGTGTCTGTACATATAGTCGTCACCTGCGTCTGTCATCGCAGTCGTTGCTGTGCATTTTCAGCAATAACACGATAAGTAAAAAAACATTTTACCTTTTATCTTCAAACTTACAGAACAGATGAATATTGACAAAATGCAGGTCAAATTCTAAAATGAGTATGATCGGGCCTATTTATTTTAAGGTTATGCTGTTTTTTCCTATTTTTTCAGCTTATATGCAACACTGTTACACATTTGAAGGAAAACCGATAGGCCTATTGTCTTGATACTCATAGGAATGGTCAGTCTTGCTAAAATACAGGTTGAGTTAAAAAATCAGCATGATCAGGCCATTTTTTCAAAAGTTGTACTGCTTTTTGGATTTTTTAAGCATATATGCAACACGGAAAACCCATAGGCCTATTGTCTTGAAACTCACAAGAGTGATCAATTTACAGATCAAGTTCAAAAATAAGCTTGATTGGTTTAGTTTTGATGAAGTTATGCCTTTTGGTATATAAGTGGTTTTATTTTTTTCATATTCAATTTTTAGGCATGTTAACAGTTTCATAATTGAACTTATTAGACATGTAAAAGTATTCTTATGACATTTTCTGCATTTTATCAATATTGTTATTTGATTACGTAAAAATGAAAGGAAAACCATGTTTCTTATTATTGTCAAACTTACAAAAAAGAAATATAGAACTAAAATGTAGCCTGAGTTGGAAAAGCAGTCTAATTGGGCTCTTTTTCTGGAAGTTATACATTTTTTGTGAAATTTTCACTTTTAACATATTGGCATTTTCAGCGTAGAATTCACATGGGCATTAAGCCAAATCATGGTAATCAAATTTTCTAAATGTCCATGTTATGTATAGTAGTTAGTTAAAAATTGGTGGTAATTACATTGTTAATCATTATGTAATATTGCATCAAAATTGACAAAAACTACTTTGTGCACTACCACCACAAATGTTATAAAAAGAAAACTGTGTTACTTATTATTTTTTAACTTACAAGAATGATTCATAGGATTGACATACATGTACAGCTCAAATTAGAAAAACAGCTCTATTGGATTCTTATTATTTCTTGAATTTATGGAATTTTTTGTGAAATTTTCATTTGTATTAAGGGGAAATTGTTTCCTAACAACTTAATACTCTCCTTTTTTACCTGCACAGGAAAAATGGGAGTCCACATGCTTGGAATATCTTTACTGTACAGGTGCTTGTTCATCCTTCTTGCATTTCCATATGTACCAGTATCACTACTGTCAAACAGCTTTCACAATATTTGGTGCCCCGTTTGTATGACATGACAGCTTGACATGTAACTACATTGTACCAAACCATATTTTTGTTTAACTTCAAATTTACCGAGTGGCTTTGTTTTTACAAAAAGACAGCTTTCTTTTGGAAACCGCATGACAGAACTACTTTTACGGTAAATATTAATTTTTTGAGTGTATATTAGTGATGTTTCTTCCTTTTTGGTGTCTGTATATTTGCCAGTCTTGCTGTGTTGTTATAATTGACTTCAGAAATGTGACTTTCCCTGTTTTTTTTGCAGGGGATTAATAGTGAATCAAGATTGTACAGCCAGTCATGGCAGTGTCAGTGTATCACCCAGTGATGGCAGGACACTAGTGTGGAATGTAGGTTAGTATACATCTGAGACCATGTTCAAATCAAATATTGCTTACTTTTGGACTGGAGGTAGACAGAAATGCACTAATTGATGTAAATAGATTCCCCTCACATTGATCCAACCTTATTTTCTCCAGGTCAGAAATTTCCTAGCAAAACACTGGAAGTGTCCCTGAAGGCAGCACTTCTATTTGACAAGGCTGGTTCTATTAGCAAGGGGTTGTATGATGATCCTTTTTGCGTGGGCCAAAATGCATATGCACAGGTAATACAATGGACTTCATGAAATAAGTTGAAGGCAACTGCAAAGGCTTTTTAATTGTAAAACATTGCAGGACTTGGATTTAAAAACTTTGTAGTGGTTTACCAGGCAAAACTCATCGGATAATTGGTCTACAAAATGTTCTATTCTTATTTTTATGACCAGTTTTGTGCCAATGTTTTATTTCACAAGTTACAGATTATCACAGAAAATGATTCCAGTATTTTGATATATAGCATTACTGTATTATACAGGTGCCAAATTGTACATTACTGTGTGTGTGTGTGTGTGTGTGTGTGTGTGTGTGTGTGTGTGTTGAAATTTTGCATACCCACCTTCCAAAATCTGCAGAACTTGAACCAATGCTGCATTTTATGATATTAAGCAACTGTATCATGGAAAGTAGAGGTTCATTCTATGCTTGGATTCTTTTATTTTATAGGACTGTTTCAAACAAAACTCAGATAGATCTGTTCTCATTTTTCAAATTTTAGGTTTATTTCAAAATGACAGAATACACACAAACTGGTAGCATGATTGAACCAAAGACTGTGCAAGTCTCTCCTGCAGCTAAAGTGAAGGTTACTGTAGGTAAGGACACATGTACTTCTTGTCTACCATGGCCTATCAAAAGATACACTCTTTCTCATACTGTAAGTTATTATACTGTGATATAGATGCATTGCCTTCTGTGGACCATAGTACTATATTAGATGTGCAAACTGAATATGAGATATGGGAAATGTACAAGATTAATTGACAGTTGAGTCATGACACAGCAGAGTATTTCATTAAATCAGTCTGTGCCAAAGCCATTTCGCCTATAGTCCAAATAGTCTAAAAGCAAAAATGGTAGTCAGTAACAAAAGGCTGGACTTCAGTTTTACTTCCCCATTAGGCCTTGAGACAGGTTAATGCCCCAGTTTTTATCATTAAACATATATACCTGTATTTAATATTTACACTTTTGTAAATTGAGAATTTCAGTTTTTACATGTGATATGTCTCGCGTTTGTATATTAATGTCTAAATTCATACATGAACTTTTGTGTATGTACATGTGTTTACACATTATTTGGAAAGATCTAAATAGTCTACAAATTTATTTCGAATGAATAATTTTAAGCATGTTATAATGAACATATAAAACTGTATTATGTAAACATGTAATTAAGATTTTTAAATTTGTATCAGTAATATGGGATTGTATTGAGCTAATTATGGGCCCAACAATGACTTAAATACATACTGAAAGGAAAACAAGATGTCGTAGCCAGACCCAACAGCCTAAAAGGCTCATATTCTGTAAATTCTGTTTCAGTGCGTGAGTACTTGGCATCTGACTACAAGATATGGAATTCGCACGGAGATGCTCAAATGACATTTGCTCCTACTTTACCAAGCTGACAGACACCCACAGACTGAAGTAAATGATTTAAATGTGTTGAATGCTTGACAATCACTGTCACTTTGATGATGGCTGTTTCAGGAAAAGATAATGAATTATTTTTCAGGAATATGAATTATCATAAGGAAAGAGTTTACTAAAAGGCAAAAGGGGTGATTTATCATTTGAAAGTGAACTGTGTTTTGTGAATGATTGGCATTGTATGCCATGTTAAAATATTTTAATATTTTAAAAAAGACCTTGTTAAAATGTTGAAATTCAAGATGGCCCAAAGAGATGTATTAGTGAGGTATGGAGATGATTTTCTTCCATACTGAATATCTTTCTTAATAACTTGATTCATCCAGTAAGATGTAGGCAGCTAGTGGTAAAAGTACAGATAAGATAAAATAGTTGTGTGAATTTTTTAGTGTGTATACATATATAGTGCTGAAAATGTCAAGCAATATTAGATAATCAGGAGACAGTTAAAAGTTCTTCAACTAAGGTGTTAAAAGATACTAATAGTACTATAATAGTACAAGTATGTATCATTCCACAAAAAAGTGATCGTATTTTCGTCAAGTTAATGAAGAAGACACAGTGTGCAACATGTACATGGCTGTTTTGTATCACTCAATAATTACTGTTGATTTTTTTTGTAGAGAATACTACATTGTTAAAATCAAAATACTCACAAATATTGCTTTCTTCTTAAATCATGGTTTAAGTCTGATAAAACATGTATCGTGAAGCTTTACATGAAATAGAGGACATAACTGTCTTGACATCATCTTCTAAATCATCTCCTTTGTGTCATGCCAAGCTCTGCAACTCTTAGTATTATGTATTGCCTTCCTTTGTAATGTAAAATGGAGGTTACCAAATGGTATAGGTAATAACATTGCATGTTGCTTTGTTTACAAATATTTTGTTAGGTTTGTAAAAGATTAAATTTATACATAACCATGAGATCCTATATATTATGTATGATGAAGAAGATTAATAAATCAATTTGAAGTATTTGCAGAATTTCTAGAAAGTTTTGCATCATATGTTTATATCTCCATCCTGATAAGTGTGGGATCCAGTAAAGACACCAAACACAATAAATAGATTCGTTGATATTTAGTCAGTGAACAACACTTTTCATATTTTTTTTTTACTCAAAAGATTTTACAATTATACTTTAAGTAATTTACCAGGTAATTAAAATTTTCAAGATTGATAAGAATTATTTAACTATGACATGACCAAGGTAGCCAGCTAAACAAACAAGTTTTGTGGGGCTGCATCAATATACATACCTGTACAAGTGGTACCAGAATGTGCTAGTGGTACTTTTACATTTTGGATTGATACAATTTTTGTTATAGTCCTGTGGGGTTCAAGCAGGACATATGTTAGGTCATAGAAGAGAAGAAAAAATCTGGGAATATGGCAATGTGATATCACCTATACTTCATATACATTGTATAGCAGCTTATGCATGCTAACAGTGACACCAGTAGCTTCATGTGCTCTGTGAACAGTGCTGAAGAGAGAAAAGTTGATATGTTGTTATGGTTCTGAATACCAGAGTGTAAATTTAGATCCTACCAACATGTTGTAGGTTGAATTAAATGTTGATAAGATATGATGTCTTTTATCTGTACACATGAGGAAAATGAATTTGTGATCAAAGGTGTAAGTAGCAATGACTGAACTAAGGCAGTCCTGAATAAATTGGAAACGAAAAAAAATTTAATTAAAAAGAAAGAAATACAATCAAAGAAATGAGCAAAAAAAAAAAATGGTGGATTCCATGAAGCTGTATTACAAGAATTGAATTCATATCCATTGAAATGATAAGTGAATTAATTTTATTGCACCACTATTTTTTATAAGATAATTATGTAGTGTATTATTGAAATAAGGCCTTTTTTACATTGATAATCCCACCGCTTTTGCAGGGGTGGGGGGTGGGGAAGGGCTGGGACATTGCATTAGCAGACCTACTAGAACGCCACTATTCTGGTATTAACGTAACTAAGGAATACAAATGAACTGTCACCACAAATAAGAGACTTATAATCCTTGCGGAACTGGTGTGTTGGAGGCTATCATAATGACAGCTGAGACGAGGGATCGGGTTTCCCAATTTGTTTTCATTTAGCAAAAATAGAATAATGAAATTGCATGGGTTTTTTATATCTTTCCAATATTAACATGTTGTTTGTACTGCCTTAGAGCGCATTCTCAACGAATTAAGCCAGGCTTTACAAAGCCGGTGACCTAAAAATGGCGGACGTACATGAAAGAAAAACCACCTAATCTTTTAATAGTCTCTCCGCCTCCCCACACATCGTCCCTGCAGGGTACAGTATTTAAATCTCGGCTCCGTTCGCCATGCAGAAGCTACCTGAGAAATATTAAGTGCGCATGCTCATCAGTTAAACTCGTGGTGAAGAAAGCATGGCGGCTGAAGGCGATCGAAGGAAAAAAGCTCTTCTGTTCTATTATCTTTGAAAACAGAGACGAAAAAGGAATAATTTGGCCCGTAGAGCAGCAATGAATCGACTATCTACGGAGATAATATCACCAGAGATATTCACGGAAATATTAATGTTCGGAGCCGAGATTTAATTACTGTACCCCGCAGGGACGACGTGTGGGGAGGCGTGTGAGAGGCGGAGAGACTATTAAAAGATTAGGCGGTTTTTCTTTCATGTACGTCCGCCATTTTTAGGTCACCGGCTTTGTAAAGCCTGGCTTAATTCGTTGAGAATGCGCTCTTAGACCAGTTTCTAGGTGTTTCTACAACGAAATCTTGATTCTGCTTTAAGATCTAAAATCATTGCTGTGAGAAATTTTGTTGAAAAATACAAAAATAAAAAAAATAAAAAAAAAAACAAAAAAAACGACAAAGTACTGGTACGTTTTCGTCTCTTCATGCCTTCGACCTCCATGCGTACCGATAAAAACGTTTTAACCGCAGTCTGGCGTCATATCGATCTTTAATTGGTGTCACGCATGGATACATAACAGCTTTTACATCGTGAAGGCCAATTTAGAGCTTTGCAGTCATATTGTAATTAATTAATCGATTCAACGATACGTGTACTACATGTTCACGATAATTTGCTCTGCGTAGCACAGTGGCTCTGATTTATCCCGACGGCTGGTGGGTTTGAATAGCAGGCCTAAGTTATGACTAAATATATTGTACCCCTTTATTATCCGTAAATGTTATTCTATAGAATTTGATCAATGGTAGTTCTTCTGAATAGAGTATGTAGTAAGCAAACAAAAACCAAGTAGGTGAAAAGAATGAGTGTGCGGGGCGACCTTGGGTTGCCATGCTGCGTTGCCAACGACAACAAAACTGCTGTTTGAGCACACTGAACACAGTAGGACAACGTAGACACTATAGAAGAGAGTAAGAGAGAAGAGTCGTACGGTGAGAGAAAAAAAGCTGTAATTTACGTTAAAAATGTCGCAGCTCGGGGTTTCAAGACCCGCGACGGGTTTTGGGAAGCTACCCGAGATTCAGCACCCCTTATCCAGAATGTCAAACCCAGAGAAGTTGGACGTCCGAGGGTTTTCACGTGCCGGGGATCGGCCTGCCTCACAGATGAATGGAAGGCCTTTAGCAGCAGAAAACAACTATATGTCTCCACGTAGACTTAATACAAGCGCTGGACGCCAATCCAAGAACCAGCTCCGTCATTCCATGCCCGAGCTGACGCATGAGAGTATCCCAGAAGGAATTGAAATTACCCATGGCGATCCCAGTAAAACACGACTACCTGTCTTTGGTGAGTACCAGTGTTGGCCGGAAAGATTAGGGTAAACTATAAACACTTTATTTTTACACCAAAAATAAATTAAATGAAATGATATTAAAATATGCCATCGTGTATTATATGATTTTCGTTTCCCTCGTGAAAATTCATAACAGTTTTTATTTGATAAAAGACGCTTGAAGTTTTTTTTTTAATTTTTTTATGGTTGTATCTTTGAGAAAACTTTATAATGATGATAAAACATGGGTATTTTTTTTCATTTATCTGTTACAGCAATTGGGAAAATTGTATTACTTGTTATCTTGAACATTTCTCAGCCCTTGTTATCGCACTAATAATACATGTGAACCACACGCAGTGAATTCCGTCTGACCTAAAATATTTCAGGGTTATAGAGATTTATGGCATTTAATGCAAGCCTGATATTTACTTCATTCTTTATTTCGGTTATTGTAACTCCAGAGAAGATTTAACTGACACCTTTTTTTATTTTAAACACAACAGTAAACACACGACACTCAAAGAGCAGCAACAACCAAATAAAAGATCGTCGTGTTTATTTGACCTACACCTTTGTGTGTGCCACGAACTCTGTTATCGCATATTGCTGTTCAAATTTTGCTATCTCTCAACAAGCAAGTGATGGGCATTTCGGAGTGGTCAAGTATTTGGAAAGGTTTGGTTGGTAGGGATTATTGTAGACAGTGTCTATAACAATCACCAAACATCGACTAAATGATACATTGCATATTGGTCAGCACTGATTCAGAACTCTAACACCCCATTCTCATAGATTAGATCGACCTACATTGGATCGACCTAACTCCCTGGGGGTTCACGCTAAATAGCTGTCAGCCGGGCGGACACGAAAGTTAATTACCCCTTAAAGCTTGTAGTAGGCGGGGACGGACACTTAAGGGGGATTATCTGACAGTAATCTAGTGAGACTCCCCGCGGTGATAGATCGATCTAAAAGTTGTGAGAACAGAGCCTAAATTGAAGCGGCACACATTTTACAAAAAGCACTAAAGTGAAGTTAATAACATTTCTGGCAAGTAAATTTGCTACATTGTACATTTCTCGATATCGATGAAATTAAATAAGCCTCATCCTGCAAGTGCACTGTATGGGAATACTAATGACGGAAACACGCTCCAAACGTCAGTAATTCCGGCAGCAGCATGACCAAACACAAATGGTAATAATTCGATTAAGACCTGCAACTCGATCTCCACCTCCCACTGCGTCAGACAAAGTTTGTTTTTGATTAGAGACAAGCTGGAAACCTTCGTGAAGTGTCCGCAATATATGAGGGATTAGTGCGTTTGAAATCACGACCAAAAATATGACTAGGAAAAAAAAAAAAAAAAGAAAGAAAGAAAAAGCTGGCGCTTTCTCCTTAGCATTAATATTGGAATGCATGTTTTCATTGCCAGACGTATATCATGTACATTAGCGCTACATAGCATAAATCATGAGCCAGTGTATGTATAATCACTCTTAAATATGAAAAATCTGAAGCATACGATAGCAAGAAAATTATAATTAGATCAAGGCAATAGTTATAATTACATTTGATAAATTAAGTGTATGCACGATACAGTTAGAAAAGGGTTGAAAATGACATTTAATAAACTTTTGCCTTACTTCAGGGATATCAAGTCAGGTGTACTGTAGGAATCGTATGAATTGAATAAAGCCAAGCAATATATGATATGTAGGATAACAATTAACAGTTTCAAACTTACTAACTGTTTGCATTTTTGCTGCCTTTTCCAAAATCAAACTTCAGCAAAAATTTGGCTTTCTTTATCTTATCTGATTGGTTCTTGTTGTTACCAGGCAGCCGTGCTGAGGTGGCAAGCAGGGCTGAGATGGGCAGTCGTCTGGCTTCCAGGATGTCTAGGCCAGGCACTCAGGCCAGGCTAGAAATAGATGAGGTAGGTGAATTGAAAAAAAAAAAAACGTGGGAGATAGATAAGGTTGGGTTTTTTCACAGACTATAAAATTTTTGCCTACTACAAAACCCCAAACTTGTGTTAAGAGACCCCATGGGACGGGGAGGGTGCACAGGTGGTCAGAAGAATAAGGAAATAATGATTTGTTAAATATATCACTCATGCTTATATGTACCTCAACAATGTAAATCCTGTTTTAAAAATAATACAAATTAATAAATAAATACACGATCTCAGAAAATTTACATTAATCACCATTTAATTTAGCATATAAGAGAGACAAGTTAAATATAACACAACTAATTTAAAACATTTTTGCTTGTTTTCATCATTAGACCTAAAATGTTAGAATTGTAATGAAAACTACAAAGGTAATTTTTTGTTTTATCTCAATTTCAGCTCGAAATGCTTCTGAGAGAGAAGTCAAAGGGTGGATTTTATGAACTGAGAAAGAGATTCAAGGACAATGATCCAGAAGGCAAAGGCAATGTGACAAGGTGTGTATATAATCTGGGCATAAATTTATGTATTAAAATGTATTCCTTTTCATAAGTAAGAATGACATCATCAGTAAAACAGAAGTCAGCAAGATTTATTTTTAATTGTATGAGAATATGAAAACTGGCATATTTAAAAATGAAATAAACCTTTCATATTAAATGTAACCAGAAAGAAAAATTTAGGAAATCCACAGAGTACCTGATCAGTCTGTTTTTATTTGATTAACCCTGGAGTAGGTCATGTTAGCATGAGTATTCTGTTAGTTCATTATCTCACACACTGATGTTTGTTAACTTGTGTTAGTAAGTGCCCAAAATGCACCTGTCCTCCGCAACAAATAACTTAAATACTGACTGCACAAAAACTGAATGCCCCATGCCCAGAGGAATATTTACAGCCACTAAACTACAAATCTGCAACAGTAGCCATTAGGTCAACAAACCCACGATCTCAAATATTAGTACTAGTACAAGGTGACATAAGAAAGCTTCAACAATAACCAATTGAAAGTAAACAAATTTGTTTAAAACGAGTGATCCAGAGCAGCAAATAAGTTATGGCAAAAGGGTACACAAGCAGCTGAAGTGTTCTTATTATTTAAAAGCTTAGCAGTGGTATTTAGTTCGATTTTGATTTTTTTGTTTTTGGAAAAGAACTGCTTTCTATTGTAAATTGTATTTCACTTGGCTCTGGATCAAGGCAGACTAAACTGGTGCAGGGTCTGAAGCATAATGCAGTTATTGCTGCAAGATTAGTCCCAGGACTGATAAATTTTATATATGAAACTAATTTATTGAATATGGTAATAACTCGATCTTTTCAAATTGGGGAAAATTTTACAGATAGTGAATTTTTAAGTAATGCTTCCTTAAAATAAAATATTCCTATTGAATGGTAGCAACAAAATTTAAAAAGCAGGCTACTCTATAGTTCATTTCTTTGCAGTAAAAGCACTCTTAATGTTATATAAAAATATAATTTTGTGATTATAAAATTATGTATCTGAAAGTTTTTTAATTTTTGCCCATTGAAAAGATCAAGTATAAATACTGTAAGTTATAAATTTGAATTTGGCATGATATCCACCCCAAAAAAATGATGATTTATTTTTTCTAAAGATATGTATTTTAAAGTAAGAGAAACATAAATGTTTTAATTTATGGATTATTTTTTCAGAGAGGCACTAGCTCGCATTATTGTCACCTTCCTGGGACGTCCCCTCAGCAACACACAATTCTCCAGACTCCTCGAGAGATTTGCTTTGGCAGACAAAACTGTGGTGTCCTTTACAGAATTCTTTGCCATCTTCCGTGATGCGGCTTCCTCAGAATATCCTCGCTGGATGGATCCAGTCCATAGACATCACCAGGAAAAAGTGACCATGAATGCAGCCCAGGTTCATGCACAGTTGAAAGAGAAAGCAAAACAAAGGTTAGTTTTATTAATCACTCTCTTTATGGCAATATTAAGTCCAATCCAACTTGGAAATTTATTTACTTAATCTGCTATCTTTTAAATTTTAAAAACCATAATTTATGAATAATCCTTTGAGTAAATGGTGTGTAGATTTAAAATTTTCTTACTCATTTATATTAATTAAATCAGTTATAATTCAACTTTTTGTGTTTTCTATTTACATATTGTTTGATATTCTTTACATTTAGATTCCTGGATATGGCAGATTTGATTCCCCAGAGCAATCCTGGAGGCACAGGAAGGCTTCTGAAGCCAGAGTTCAGAAATGCTCTCAACAAGATGATGTTCTTCATGGACGATGACGAGTTTGAAAAACTTTGGGAAAGGTAAAAACTTGTATGGCCATCCCCCCAATTTATTTATTTATTTATGTATGACATATTTTACATCATGCTTAAACACAAAGTATTTTCAGAAACTTTTTTTGGTTTGTTCTATTTAATGACATATACTTCTCATCTCTTAAATTATTAAATTAAAAAGTAAGCAAGTATGCCACTTCACCTATTGCTTGGATACTGGGTATGGTTTATAAATAGAAGAAATGAAGCTAAATTTTCAATAATTGAATATTTCAGGTATGACACAGAAGGATATGGTACTATTGATGGAAAAAAGCTGATGAAGAAATTGGGGATCGATTTAGCAAATGGCACAGCTGGCAAAACAAGCCCACGATTAAGCCCTATTCCAGAAGGTTTGTATTAATTACATAGTTTAAGGTGTTTTCTGCTCACATTTTAAACTATCTTAATTTTTTACAGCTTTTGGTAAATTAAATGTAATACTACAGAGTCGTTTTTTAAATATCCAAGACTATTTTATGGTTTTGTCAGTTTAAATAATTGTAGCTTAGGAAAAAAACAAATTAACAAAGAAAAAAATAATATTAAAAAAACAGTCAAATTTCAAAATATCCCTTCCTCTACCTCTCTGTTAATTTTTGCATACCAGGTGGCAGAAGATCAGGCATGGCTAGATCACCAAGGAAGAAGGAGGCTGATCGTCAGAGGTCCCTGGGAATTGAAAACTGGTTGAAAAACAAATTTAGAGAGGGATGCCAGAACATGAGAGTGGCTTTTGAAACATATGATGAGAAAAACACAGGAATGGTAAGATATTATTATGTATGTCTCTTGCTGCACTCTCATTGACTTTGATCCTATTTACATATAATACTCATTAAAAAACCCTACAATATTAAATTCTTTCTTTTGGAGTAGATACCAGTACTTATTCTGCATAATTACATTTCCAAAAGAAGATACTAGTACAAAATTTATTTCTTATAAAAATAATTTGTGAAATGTGTCACCATACTAATAATGAATATGCATGATTGTTTGCAATATTACGTGGAATACCAAAGTGTAAAATATATGGACATAAATATTATCATAATTGTACACCAATTTTGAATAAAACTATGATTATTTACTATAGTTTATATATTATATATTTATCACAATGTAATATCAGTCATAAACATTCTCAATGTATTTACAATACAGGTCAGTGCAGAAAACTTCCTGACAGTGCTGAATGAGTTTGGTTTGAAGCTTGAGAAGCCTCATCTGGAGGAGTTTCTGGCCAGAGCAAACATTGAGCTGCAGAAGCAAGGTGTAAAATATAGAGAATTCCTTCACAGATTCCAAGACCGCAGTGAGGCTGGCATGCCACATAAGATACTTTCCAACCCAAAACACAGGTATGTTTACAGAAAATTGCACCAGGTTTGGTAGCTTGTTTAAAATACAACCCTTAAGTTTATTAGATATAAGTGTTAAGATATATGATATACAGGGGTATAAATGAAAATTTGCTTCTAGCAAATTTGAGGCATGTATCTCCATGAAAAATTAATATTGTCTTAGTCATTATCTATTAAAAAATATGCTCATTCTGTTATGAATCTCGGGCATGTCTTTTCCATTATAGTGAGCTCTTTCAAGGGGTTACGCAAGAATGCAAGTGTTTTAAGATTTTTTCTCCGTATTTCAGGTACAACAAATCTCGTGCAGGAAGTGCAGGTGGCAAATCAACAGTGAGTGCACTGGAGGCCCAAATCATGAACATGTTCCAGACAGATTTCCTGGCTCTTTTGGGGACATTCCAGTAAGCATCATTTGATTTATTTGAATATCTCTGTTCATTTCATTAAAAATAAATAAAAGTACTTGCTTTCCATACAGAGTTTTTAGTTTGTGTTTGATAGCTACTTTTAGTCATTTTGAATGCAAACTATAAGTTATGACAAAATAAACCAAGATCATTTCACCTATATTTTTAGTTTGGGCATTATAGTAACATAGTTAGATATTCATTTTGTTTCCGGTCCTTCCACATATTTCAACCATTTAACTTTAACAATTCTGATGGCTTTGTTTTGTTTCTTACAGTAAAATTGACAGAATGGGCACAGACCAAATCTCACAGGAAGAGTTCAGAGCCGCCATTGAAAGTCGCTTCAGCCTGAACATGACAGATTTGCAGTTCAATAATCTTATAGATAAAGTGCCTCTCTCTGAAGATGGATCTGTGAAATATGCTGAATTTATGTCACAGTTTGATACAAGGTAGATTATTTCAATAAATTATACAAGAGAAAGACATCTCAAAATTAACAAAATATCCAGATGGTATTATACAGAACATTAAAATTGAACTCAGACGTTTTTATCAAACGAAAATTAATGATTCCGAGTTTTTTTTATTCTTTAAGCTAAGCAGTCATAATACCATCCAAGTCATTTTCTTCTCTGCATGTGAGCAACTATTGCATGTGACTTAATTTACAATTTCAACTGTGATTTCAGGGGTAAAGCTCCTAGCTTATTTGAGAAAACTGCTGGAGAACCACAAATGCCAAAACCCAATACCAAGGTGGATAGACTAGTGGTCCAGGAGCCCATGGATATTGACTCAGAGGTAGAATACAAGCACAGAACAATACCACAGCTCCAGAAAATGATCAAAGATCTGTTACATAATAGATATGCTGAAGTGGAAAATGCCTTCTATGAACTGGATGAGTCCAACAATCAGAGACTCTCCCAAGAGCTATTCTATCAGCTCATGAAAAAGTAAGTATTGGCACATGATATTTAACTTAGAATTTAAATGTTTGAGATCTTGAATTGCATTTTTTGCCATTCAGTTTTATCCTTTTTGTTTAATGTATTAAGCATCTACAATCAGATTTAGTAATCTTGATAATAAAAATGTATCAAAATTATGTATGAAAATGATTCTAATGAAAAAAATATGAAAATATATGAATGTGCTTTTTGAAATGAAAAAATAATAAATAGATTGAAAATTTAAATCACATCTTGATTCCTCAGATTCATAGAGCCAGAGATCACAAGGGGAGAGATCAGAGAGTTATGGAAGACATTCATTCTCAACACACGTAAAACCCTGGATTACCTGGAGTTTGTCCGCCATTTTGGTTACAACGCTAAAGATGCCTCCTTCCCCAATGCCAAACTGTCTCCCCCCAAGAAGGGTGACTCTGATTTCATGATGAGGTCACGGAAACTGAACTGTGCTGCTGATATGCTTCAAGATAGCCTTCGTGCCAAGGTAAATACCTATCTAATTAAGCAGTCAAAAAATAATTTATAACGAAAAGTGCTTATTAATTAAGAAATATTAAGTTCTCAAAAATGTTTAAAATTCAAGTACATTTTTAAAAAATAGATTAATTGTTATCTTGTTTATTCTAAGTACTGTGTATGAATCACTTCTTGAAATATGGTTTTTAACATTTATTTTGAACATTTGATTTATTTTAATTATGTGATATTTTAGATTGATTACATGTGGGAGGACTTGAGAAGAGAACTAGTGGATATGGATCCTTATGCTACCCAGTTTGTTACCATTGACGAATTCAGGGAAATCCTGACCGAACTCTGTGTGCACCTTAGTGACTATGAATTGGATATGCTGTGCAAAAAGTTTGAGACCAAGAAAGATGGAAGGTTAGCAGGAAAAAATTGTTTTTTTAGTACAACTTAAGTAAACCACATTCTGTATGCTGAAGTTCACAAAACACACGGGAAAGCTATGGAAATTTCGTTACAAATGATGACGATTTTGTTGATTTCAATGTCTTTCAGATCTGGCACTCGAATTATGGATGACCAGATATGTACGCCTAGTGTAAGCTTAACATTCCACCATCATAATTTAAATTTAATTTAACTAAAGGCAATAATATAATATTTTTATTTTCCAGAATCAACTATGTAGAGTTCTTGAAGCCATTTGCACTGAAAAAACAAGTATGGCGCCACGGCAACAACATGCTTTCCTTGCTCCAGCACCCTGCAGCAGAGCTTCCCATTGCTGATATTGTAGAAAATCCAGAGAAGGGACTCACAGGTCTCACAGCCAAGCTCAGACAAAAGGTAAAAAAAATATTTCAAAATAACAACTTTTCTGTATACATAAAATAATTTTAAATACCTGATTATGGCTCCCTGACTTTCACAGACAACTGAGAACTCGCCTGTATTACGATTTGGTGGAAAGGACTATTCTTTAGTACTTTAAAACCCTGGGTGGTGGGCCAAACATAGCCAAATCTTTTATGAATTGGTTGGTTAGAAGTGCTTTCAGCCAGTCATTTCAAATCATAATCTGCTGTTTGTGTTTGATAATATTTTAAAGAACTATTTTACCTTAAATTTTGTAATATGTAACATGTTTTATTTACACCATATTTCTCATATTCCAGTTGTCTGGTGATTGGAAAAATCTGCGTCGTACCTTCAAGAAACTAGATGTCAACAACGAGGGCTACCTATCAGTTCCCGAGTTCCGATCTGTCTTAAAGCTGGCCAATGTGGTCTTAGATGAGGAAGAGGTGTATCAAGTGATGCAGAAGTTTGATGAGAACATGAGTGGGAAGATTCCATATAACAAATTCCTCAGTGAGACATTTAAGCAATCTCCTCAAAAGGCTGTCTAAAACGTCCCAATTAATTGCCTTTTTTTGTTAGCTTAGGTATCTGTAAGCATTGCCATAAAGGAAAGATTTGGTTCTGGCATTTTTGTCCAAGTTATGGATTAATATTTTTTACTATGATATATCAAATAAAACCACAAAGCATATAGAAGTGAAGAGGGAAGAGAGAAATGGCACATGTAAAAGTTGGACATAAAACAAATGGTTTTTCAGATAAGTTCAATTTACTGCCAGTGGTAATAATTGGTCCTGACTGTATTTTTTCATAGTATGACCAGGTTTTTTCCACACAAACTGGCCTCAGATTTTGCTTTTTGTGGATTGAAAAGAATACTAATGGAAGAATACTAATGGTTACCTTCAGTGAGGTGTGTTTATGTAAACTTTTAAATAATTAATGTCTTCTATTTTCTACATGGAAAAAATGATTGCAATTAAAAAATTTAAGGACAATTTAACAGTTGGTAATCAACAAATTATTTTAATGAATATTGTTATATTGACAATAATTTCAAAGTTGATTTCTAATTAAGCATAATGAAAGCACAATGATTTTCAAATAATTGAATGCAGCATAATATTACTTTTGATAAAACTTATTTTATTTTCAAATGGATAAAGATATTTTCTCATGTAGTTTACATTGTAAATAAGGGATAAATCGTTATTTGTAACATAAAACATGATGGTTATGTTGTGTTTGTCAAAGGGTAAAACTGGCATTTTCCTTTTAAAGCTGAAGTTTAGTTTTCCACCCCTACAACAATTTGCTCAAAAGAGTTAAAATAACAGTATTGTATGTTGATACTCCCACAGTACTAGTAGGTACATGTATACCTCTGAACTTGGCTTATTTCTGTTGTTAAGTACTGGTGATTTTTTGTATTTGTTTAAATATGGACCACAATTTGTAATAAAATCTAAAATCGAAATTTTCTAGTATTTGTTTATATTGTGTTTCTCTGCTATCATATACTATCTTTAGCATAATACAAATTTACCTCCTTCAACATGACTTATCTTATTTTCACTGATCATCTTTGAACTAGGTTGACAAACTGGCTCTGGCACACACCTAATGCAAGTAAAATTGAGTCCATTTGTTCAGTTATTGGCCACTATTTCTGTTTTGAGTCAGCAGATTCTTGGACCAAGGCGTTCCAAACTAGAGACAGTAGGCTGATTTTTTTGGTTGAGACTGTCAACTTATGTAAATTCAATCTGTGAAACACGTCAGGAGAACTATCTTATAAAAACAAAAGCTATCTCTTGCTGTAACCAATACAGACTGGTCAATGTGGACAAGTTTAACGCTTCAGAACTGATTGCGTTAGTTGTGAAAGTTGTGCCAGAGAACACAATAAGTTACCTCTGTGAAATTTATTCACACAGATTTTATATTGTGAACCTTTCACTGTATATAAGGTTGTCAACTCTGTATGTATCAAAGTTTTTACATAATTCTGAGGACCAATGTCTTTGGGTATTATCATTTTTTCACATTTTTGAACAATCATGTTGGAAAACACTACCAAATGAAATCCCCTCGATTATACACTCTGTTTTAAAGAACTTCAAGGTGGAAGGAGTTGATTATATTAGATCTGACTGTGGCTGTAATATAATGGCTTGTACTGCTGCTAAGGCTGCAAATGCTGTGAATTAACAGCTGAGTTCCAGGTTTAACAAGGTTTTAGCCATGACATATATTTATGTGTGAATGCATGAGATAAAAGCACACTAAAATGACACCTATAACATTTGCTGTTTTGAAAATTAAAAAATCTGTGGTGACTAGGTGTTTTTAGATTAAGGAATCTTTTTTAAAATGCAATAAAAGGCAAGACAGCATTTCACCTTTGCATTATGCATCTATTATGTTAAAAGATCAACCTCCCAAAAATACACTGTAAAAATAGTTTAAATACTTAGTATCTTCATAATTGACATAAAATTGCCAGTAAATATAAACACCATAAATCACATAACTTGCACCGACTTAAGCAGTAACTGCAATTATAATATTAATTAGAGCCATATTAATGAGCTTCAGTTCCAAATAAAAAAAACAAAAAAACTATGAAATACACAACATAGAAATGTTTACCAATTTGTTAACTTATATTCTGTTCCCAAACTAATGAATGAAACACATTTCATTCTCTCACTTATTAATTCAAATATGCAATAATGTGAAGTATCATTCATCAAGAGTTTGGTCACGGTCTAGCCCTCTGCCACTTTAACACTCCTGTCACTAGAAACCTCCGCTGAACATGAAACACAATTTCTGCTAAAGTCTACAGGTCCACAACCTTGATACACCATCTGCAACCAGTCACCTTCATGATAACCATCAATCGTCCCCGTTTCTAAACCTTTATCTCTCCACGCATCAAACATCAAGGGAAGATGCCCCTGACCTGTAAACATAAATATAGAATCAGCTTACCTAGTTTCTTAATTTGGAAATAAAAGGGTCAAATTAGTCATCAAGATGGCAAAGAAGCTAGCTGATAGATGATGGAAATATTGATCAGCATTATCAGTCAATGACATCATCTAAGATGCCTCCTTTACCTAGCCAAATAATGGCCAGTTATAACTAGATTTAACCTTGAAGAGATTATTCATTAACACCTATGAATGTATCATTTGTTATTTCATCATCATTCAACAAAATGACTGAAGATGTTCTTTGGCACGGAAAACTGCCAAATTGTAATCAAGAAAAAGAAACAGATGCACAACACTAAGTTTTTTTTTTTTTTTTTTTGCATTTGGCTAAAACATCTGGCATAAACCACTTGATCAATAATAAAGTTAATACATGTAGTCGCATAATTTTTTAAAAAATTGTTAAATCTGCAAAGAGAGTCTTACATGTGGCTATACCATTCCATTATAACCTCATAACACATTCTCAATCTTGTAGAATATCTGGATCCTTTAACTCCAAGTTCAGCATCATGTCCACTGTGAGACCTTGGTCCTTCAGAGTATAGTCAGCTTGGTCACTAAGAGTCACTCTTGGGTAAGTAGTAGATATTGTATATATAGTCTGGTGGTAGCCAAGCTTGGTGATGTAGTCTAATAATACCTTAAATAGCAAGATAAATTTTTCTTATTAGAGGAGGGTGCAAAATTTACAACTAGATGGTGTTGATGGGTAGCCATCACATTACCCCGTCCTTCCCCACATTGTTAAGTTCGAGTAGCTCACCCTCAAGGACCCGAGGCATTCCCTTGGTATTTATGCAATGCTCGGGTCCTATATGTAAAATTGTTGCAAATAATCTTCATAATAACAACATAAAAAGTATGCTTCAGTGTAAAAGAGAATCATCCAACCCCAGGGACAGCCCAACCCCCAGGAACACAAATTACAACTGGCCCATTCACATCCCTGGTATATCAATCCCAAAAAGTTCAAACTTCCTCACTCTAATAGTCTAGAATATGGTCTAGATGACTGAAGTTAAAATATAGAATATTAAAATCACCCACCCCAGGGACAGCCTTACACAAAGGGGGCCCAAGTTCATCTGCGATGATAGGTCTGCCAATACCCAAATAATGAACTCCCTCATTATAATGGTCTAGGAGTAATGAGCAGAAATTACAATGTGAAAAGAATTAAGAATCAATCATCATCCAGGAACAGCCCAACCCACATGCACATCTCTGATGATATGTCTATCAATTCTCAAAGTTTGAACTTTCTCACTCTATTGGTTTAGGAGGAGTTAGCAAAAATTACGATGTAAAAAAGAATTAAGAATCAACCACCCCCAGGGACAGCCCAACCCGCTGCCTCCCGAAAATTCCAAAGTGCCCATGCACATCTTTAATGATAAGTCTATCAATGCCCAAAGTTTCAACTTCATACATGTAATGGTCTAGAAGACGCAAAAAGGCACAAAGATACATGCATGGGCAGTATAATGTGATCCCTGACTTTTGTCCCAAGTGTGGGCATAATAAATTGTTATAACACACACACACACACCATTTAATCTAATAAGGACCTGGAAATTAAAGGTACATACGAACTGAGCATCTGTAGAGTGTGGATTCCCAGTAACACATGTAAACCACTTCTACTAGTTTCTTATACGACTCAAATAAATTGGACATGCCAAGGGGTAAACTGAATAGATCACTTAATCAGCCAAAGAAGAGCTTTAGACTGCTCCTTTCTTTAAATTTTTGGTCCGAAATTTAACCTACTTTCGTGACCTACTTTTTTTTTCCCATTGACATACAGCTAGCATAGAATGCTACCAGAAAAATCTGTTCAAACATCATTTTTGGGTTAAATTAAACAATGCCTTTTGTAATTCTTTAGTTATACTACTTGAAACTATATGCTGGCATTTGTTCGGTTTTTGTGGCAAAAAAATTGACTTTATATGCATCTTTATTGTTCATGTACATGTAAAGTAAAGTAAAGCTTGTGTAAAATTGCTATTTGTCAGTGTGAGCTACCTGCAGCTGCTTGTAGTTCATGCTCACATGCATCAGGTACATGTATAGGAGACATGTACATTAATCCTCCCACTGGGACCATCTCTGAATTTAATGTGACACTGACACATTATCATCTAGTGTCAACCAAACCCAGGAGATGCTGTGACAATGCCACATAATAATTACATAAAATTTTAAACACGAGTAATGAAATGTTGCAGGCAAATGCCTTAAACTGCAACAATCACTGTTGCACCTCCTCCTCTCCCCCTCAAAGTGTTTTTCTACACACTATTATCACCACAGACTGTTTGAGGTCAATAGGCAGAAAATTTATTGCTACTCCCGCTACCACATAAAACATTGTTCAATAACCAACACAAGGCACCTGAGTCAAATAATAATCACCAATAGCTGTGAATTTTTTCACTAGTTTTTTGGTTGGTTTGATGTTGTGTCCAAGAGTAAGATGCAAATATGAATATAATATCAGATTGTGAAATTATAAAAAAAAATTTCCAAGTGTTGTATTTTCCACTCTTTCCCTCCACACACACACACACACACACACACACACACTGAATGTCAATGAGTATGATACAAATATGTACGTATGTGTATTGCATCATACCTCACAAAAAAATCTGCACCAACAGTTTGACAAACATACTCATAAATTCAACAAAACCTTTTATGATGTAAATGTTGGTTATAGTATTTCATATGTCAAGTTTCATCACATTTGAGGGAAGATTTTGAGTCTCATCATTCATGACATACAAGCTCATGTTTACTTAATAAAATGGACTGTATGTATATAGCCCTGACAATGCAGTACTGGGTTAATATATATCAATGATGTATATCAAGCTGATGTATTATGCATGAAAATGTGCCAGTACAGTAGATTTATTCTGAAGTATGTCTTTAGAATTAAAATTGTCTGTTATCTTGAAGCTAATTAACTTAAATAAAAAAAGAAAAATAACAATTAATCTAAGTACCTGAGCAAAGAACATATCTGCACAAAAACTGAGGTGGCAATAGCCATTAACATTAACTAGTCTGAATGAAATTTTTCTTTTGACATTTTTTTGCTCATTATAAACCAAACTGAATCTTTAA